GATTTTAAATCAAAATAATGGATAAATGTTGTTTGTGGTAAACAGCCACGGATCAGTAGCGGACTCCTGTGTGAAAGCTGCTTCCCCTCTCACAAGAGTCACCTAAGAGGGGAATTACCCCCATTTTCAAAAATGAAATTCAGGCCCTGAATAAATGTCTAAAAATCCTGAATGGAGTATCACTATAAATAGTTATAAATGATAAAAAGAAGGCTTTAAAAAGATCGGTATCGGTGATCGGTATCGGCAGATACTGCTTTCTGTGATCGGCGATCAGTGATCGGCCTCAAAAATCCTGATCGAGGCACCCCTACCAAACACCTAGCATTTGACTTGGAGGCCATCAAAGCAGCAAAGAAAGTAGAATTCACTTGGGACTGAGGCACGGATGCCATTGTTTTTTACTGAGTAAACAATCCAATATTCCAGCACTGGCTCAAACTTGCACAAGGTCCATCAGATATCCTGATATCCCACAAGAGTAGACAAGCTTTTTATGCTCAGACAAGTTTTGTATCACGCTTGTATCTTGTCACGAGTTGTTTTTGCCACTTTACTAAACGCCTCTTCCAGCACTTTCACTGAACTGTGCTCATCTTTATTTCCAACAATATTACCCCAGCCTTCACATGGCACTAACGATCTCCTATTAAAAATCATTACAAAAAAAAAGTTTGTTCAAGGTTGAAAGATACTTAGCAACTTTCATTTAATTTGAGAAGTTCAGGAATAGCCTTACAGTATCATTTGGAAAATATATTTTATTTAATGATTGTGGGGCTGCCAATAATGTACTGTAAGGCTTACAGGAAATGTTTATTTAATTTAAATGTATTTGTAGTTTCATGTAAATGTATTTCATATTTCTACCACAGGAGAATTTTAACTGAAAGAGAAGAAAAATCCTGGAAGGAACCAGGCTCAGCTGGAATTTTCATTTCATGCAAACTTTGAGCAATGTGTCTGTTTGTAGAATTTATTTATTTGATCATTTATTCTTTCGTTCTTAATAACCATTATGCAATAAAGTTTTTTTTCCCCTCCATATTTTACTTTGAGTGCCTTGGATTATGGATCCCTTCATTAAGAGCACCGGAGGAATAATTTTACACCCAAACATTATTTGCTTGCATTGATAAAAACTGAGATAATGGTTTAATTGTAAAGAAGGTGCATTTTGATACTTGTTTGTTTGTGACTTTTCTACTCACAAATTACTGACAATGTCTGCAGCAGCATGTCACCTTTTGTAAATCAACATGATTGTAATTTTGAAGGTTACAGTTAAACTGTGTTATACAGTAGTCTATCAAAAGACATTAATAGCTACATAATCTGCTTCAGTTTCACAGATTGCATTTCTGCCTACATGGAATTGATAATGGTAAGTTCTGGAAAACTTAAAAAAAAAAAAACACGTGTCTAATTGCCCATGCAGAGTCTGACTTACCAATCACACATATCTATTATCAATAAAATGAATATTAATTGATGACAGTTACAATAAAAGGTTAGTTTATTTTAAGGTGTCCTTGTTACAGTGTAATTATACATTTAAGTACTGAGTAATATTAATTAACTACATGTGCTTATATGGTTAGGGTTAGGATTAAGGTTTAGTTTAGGGTTACTTGCATGTAATTGTGCATAATTTATTGTTATTATAATAGTAAGTACATGTAACGTGTAACAAGGACACCTTAAAATAATATGCTACCAAAAAAAAAAGATGCCAAAATGTAGTCTGCAATATCAAAATATTCTCCACATTAAAACAACTGTTAAGAATCCTAAAGTATAGTACTAAAAATGATTTATGTTATTGTAGTTTTATTTATTTAGCTGCTATTCTGACGTTTTATAAAACTTGAAAAATTATAGCTCTACACTTATAAAAAGCATGACCTACTTTTAAACTAAGACATTTTCTTAAAATAATTAAATAAATTTAACTCTTGCATTCTAAGTAGTGTGAACAGTGCATTGTTTCAAATCCAATTATATGCGCACATGGCAGAATCAAGGCTAGTGTGAGGAGAAAATCAAGAGGCTGGAAATTGAAGGGAAGACTTTTAGGCAACTAATGAATAACACAAACAGTTGTCTAATTACTGTAGATGGCATCATTTAAAAGGCAGTTCAGAAAAAAATAGAGGGATGATAAAGTGAGAGAGACAGACAGATACAGAGTGTGACAGGTCTGTTATGTGTGGCTGCCTTCAGCACAGTCACAACTCAGTGTGGGACCCCAGTGAGGCTGGAGGCAGTTACCCTGACAACTAACCGCCAATAATGATGTCTGCGGCTTTGATTGACACCTGCTCGATCTCTCTTACAGTTTTTCTGAATTGCTAAAACACTAAACCCCAATCTCTGAACCAAATTCTCACTAGCTTAAACCAATTTGTCGAATAAAGCACTCTTTCTGCTAAACCTTAAACACGTTCAGGCAGTTAGGCTCTATTTGCAAATATCAAGCACTCTTTTTGCAAAACTCTAAACACATTCTCATTCACTAAAACACTTATCACACTGTGATGCATTTGTGCTGCACAATGCTAAACACAAGTGGCAAAAGTTAAACACAACTAAAGCACAGTTGTCCTCGTTTACACACAACGATTCAAAATTAGGGGTGCTCCGATCAGGATTTTTGAGGCCGATCACTGATCGCCGATCACAGAAAGCAGTATCTGCCGATACCGATCACCGATACCAATCTTTTTAAAGCCTTCTTTTTATCATTTATAACTATTTATAGTGATACTCCAATCAGGCTTTTTACACATTTATTCAGGGCCTGAATTAAATTTTTGAAAATGGGGGTAATTCCCCTCTTAGGTGACTCTTGTGAGAGGGGAAGCAGCTTTCACACAGGAGTCCGCTACTGATCCGTGGCTGTTGACCACAAACACAACATTTATCCATTATTTTGATTTCAAATCCAAACATTGTCACTGAAAATGCTTTTTCAGCATTGCAATTCTTTTTTTACACAGTACAGTAATACAATCTTTCACAGACATGTTTAAACAATAAA